AAGAAACCGTTTAAAGCCAAACACTTTGGAAATGCTTGTTTTCCTCAATAAAAATGAATGAAAGGTGTATCTTGTTCCTTGTTTATGTCAATGTCTAAAATAAAGCAATCATTCTTTCAAGTAACACACGCACATTCATTCACATCACAACTCCCTGCCCTTTTGACTCCATCAAATCCATGGTATTTTAATCACTGTCATGACATTTATTTTCCACATGATGGCGCAATAGAACAAATGGAGCCTCATGATGCATCGGCCCAGGACCGACCCAGTTGGATTGGAAAGCCTCATTGCTTCATGAGGCTTCAGATTCCCATCACTAGTTCAGACGAACCGAATAATGTTTTGGATCCCAAAAATAGTAGACGCCAGACAAGGACTCCGTAACAAAGAGATTTAATATACAAAAACCGCACCAACAAAGTAGTAACATAAAGCGCTGGTCAAAACAAGGACCAGGGAGTACAAAAACTAAACGACAACAAAAAGCGCTTGCACAAAAGGCAAGGGAGAAAAACAAAACCGAGAATACCAACGAAAAACAATGCATCAAAAACACGCAAGCAAAAGCTGAATCACAAAACAAAAACCATACTTACAAAACCAATGGTACCGAGAGTTCAAACGCGAAAACAACGAGGTCTATAGCAAAAGGTCTACGAGCAAGGAAGCAGCAAGGCAAAACAATACTCCGACAATCAGCAGGCAGAAAGTGGGTCCTTAAATACAGAATCCCTAATTGAAAGATTGGCAGCAGGTGTGCAACCAGAAAGTCTGCTCAGTCTGCCACCTGCTGGCCAGGCCACGAACAGGAACGTGACAAAATGTGTCCGATTTGCTGATGATACAACTTTCTACTGCTCTGGAGAAAATCTGAAACAGCTCCTGACAACTGTGGAAAATGAATTAAACACATTTTAAAAAACTGGTTCGACAGGAATAAATTGTCACTTGAAAAAAAATCTAAGTTAATTGTTTTTGGCACAAGACCAATCAAACAACAAGTTTAAATTATGGTAAACTCAATTGAAATAGAAAGAGCGTATGAAACCAAGTTTCTCAGATTCAAAACTATGTTGGAAGCCACAGATCAAGAACGTAAAAAGAAAAATATCCAAAACTATAGGGATCCTCTACAAAACCAAGAATGTGCTGAATAAGATTTTTGTACACATTATACTCTTCATTATTACAACCATATATGGCCGACTGTGTGGAAATATGGGGAAACGCCTGTAAAACAAACACACTCCCTGTTTTAAAATTACAAAAAAAAAGCAATGCGAATTATTAATGACTTAGACTTAGACTTAGACTTGCTTTATTGTAGAGCCTACTGCACTGGAAGGCATGAACCGGGGAGACCTCGACCTAGGCCAATTGTGGTGAAATTTGAAAAATACAAGGACACA